GCAGCCTGTGCAGTCTGTTGCTAACGCTTGATAGTAGCTGCTTAGTATCGGGATCGCCTGACACAATAAATTGCCTTCTTAGGTGCCTTTTTTGATCCACCAGTGCCCTTGCCTCCGGTGTTAGTAAGGGCGCCCTCCTAGTAGGTGGGAGACCAGATTGGCGCTGAGGTGGCGTAGCTCTCCGGGCAGCTTCAGTAATTGTGGAAGTGAAGCTATCAACTTATGCATCTAGATCGCTGCAGGTTGTTATTGGTGTGTTGAGCATCGATGAAGGACCTAAAAGTGGCAAAGTTTGCATGGGCCGGCAGCATTTCGGGGACTCTTTTAAAGAATTGAGCTTCTTCATTTATCAGGTATAGCAATGGGAGGTGGTCAGAAGAAAGCTCTGTGAGTACTCTAACGGAGACCTGCTGTTGTCTGAAGCCTTTTGAGATGCCAAAGTCAATGGCACTGGGGGTGGCGTTTGCACGATAGGGGTAGTAGGTGGCTTCTCCAGTTGCAACAATATCGACATTGACATTGGCCAGAACAGAGCTGAAGGTCCGGCCTCTGGCACAGATTCTGTTGTTGCCCCACCATCTGTGTTTGGCATTCTAATCACCTGCAGCAAAAAACTTATCTCCAAGTCTGGAGAGGAGCGCCATGAAGTCTGCTTCTGTCCACCTGACAGCAGGAGGGCAGTACACCGAAGCAACGTTAAACCTCCTTCTTCTTGAAGAAATCTCAATGGAGACGGCTTGAATGTGCTCTTCCGAAAGAGTGGAAGAGAGTTGATGGGATATGCACGACTTGACGAGGATCGCTGCGCCCCCATGTCTCTGTCTTTCGAACTTAGCCCATTGGGGTTCCAGCAGGCTATTTTAAGCACACCCATTGTGGAGAGTAGAGGAGGAAGGACGCTTCTGCAGGAGTGCTTGCATTAGTGTCTCTACCAGAGACATCATCCTGTCGAGCCTCATAAAAAGCTGTTCCAGCTTGGCATCCAGAGCGGCATTAGCGGTGAAAAGAGTTTGAGGGGGAGTATTTTCCATCTCTTTGCGAGGGTTGCTGCGTTGTGCGATGGGTAGGTTCCTTTTGGCTACACTAGCAAATGATTCCCTACCAACGTTGGGTTGGTAGGTGAGAGAGATGGGTTGGAGGAATCGTGGTCGATTCTGAGGCTGCTGTGATCTTCGATTGGTGATTTTACTTAAATGCGACTTGCAAGTATTTACGGCATCCTCTGAAGAGTTTCCGCAGTGAATGCAGCACCTAGGGTCGTCTTTTCCAAACTTACACTCTGGGGTAGGGTGGTTTTCTCCGCATTCCCTGCAGATGTAATGCCGCAGTATGCTTTTGTATGCCCGTATTCCTGACATCTTTGGCATCGTACAGGACCGGATTGCTTGCGTGCTTCTCCCATGTCACTATGTGTCTACAGAGAGCAGTGATGTTTTTAAGAAGCTTGTTGTTGTCAGCCTTTTTAACGTCCACAAACCTCATGTTGAGTGGAAGCTGAGTTGCCTTGTTACGAGGGGTATAGATGCGCAAAACGCAGTGACCCTTTTCCTGCAAGCACTCAATGATATCCCCCGATGGTGGAAAACAAGTCCTTTTTCGCGGAAGTGTTTGGCCACGAGCCTGTAGGCATCGGAGGAGTTGCACTGAACGGCGCATTCACCCGAGTTCAGCTCTTTGATGAAGTAGGCGTCTCCTATAAGAGCATGCAGCTGACTGCAGAAAGCAGAGAAGTTGACCACACCGGGAACCATAATCCTTGGGACCTTGGGTGATCGAGCGGCTTGCGGTGCGGCTGTTTGGACTTGTCCTGAGCTGTTGGATTTTGCTGGCTGTAAAGTTGCGTCACACTTATTTGCGGCGCGACTTAACGCGACTTGCGAAGTGGAAGGCTCGACGTCCATTTCTTCGTCATCGCTTAGGGCTATGAAGCGGTTTCCGGAGTTGGCGGTGGAGCTTGTCTTCTTTTGGCTGACCTTGGGAGAGAGAGCTGTACCTGCTCTCTTCTTTGCTGCTCCTTTGTTAGGTTTTGAGGTGACTTGCTGCCACCCTGTGGTGGAGTTGCCTGATGGTGTGTGAGTAGGAGCAGAATCTTGCCCCGTGCTGGATGCAGCGCAACACAAACTGTCATTCGAGCTTGTTGAGAACGTCAATGAAGATGAGATCGAGGCTGTTACAGTACAGGTTTTGGTGCAGCTTGTGGGAGCCCATCTGGTTGTACTGCGGGCTTTTAAGCCGTCCATTATATTATATCGTAATATAGCCCTTAGTTCGGCAGGAGTTGCTCCAGCAGTCTTCCTCATCGATTTCAGATCGATGGGTTTTTGTTGAAGAGGGGGGTCCATTTTTAGTAATTAGCAAAAACTTTACCAAATAAAGTTGAGTAATTAACAAAATGCAAGATAAATGCTAAGCCAAGGTATGTCACTGTTGCTTAGCTCAGATATAAACCTGTTGAGAGCTTAAAGCTTGAACAACTGATCAAATCGTCTCCAATACGTCTGATAACTGTGCACATATGTATGCTTAATACAACCAAAATCTTATCATTTGTATCCGAGCGACAAATTAAAAAGGACAACGAAGACTGCAGCAACGACGATTACTTAAAAAATTAAGTCAATAGAAAAAGTGCCAAATGTACTAGTCGGCAATACACAGGTATGTCGTTGTGCCGCACATACAGCCCAGCTGGTTGCGCTGGACGTAATTAAGTCATCTGACTTACTCGCTAGATTGTTTAATTGTCGAAATGACAAAAGAAAAACGTCAAACGAATATTCTGAAATGGGGATCAACGTAGGACATGTTGAAAAGCTTATTGGATGCCAAAGATATTTTAAATAAATAAATCAATTAAAAATTAATGATGAAGAACTTTTTTACATGGATTCCCCGTTTTGGGCTTTTATTGAGAGCTATTGACACGTTTTCAATCCATTGCATAAAATAATAAAAAAAATTTCAAGAGGAATAATTACACTACAGTAACTTTTACGACCCATGGCTTACGCTGAATATATCTACAGAAACAATAGTAAACGATTCAAGTGATGCTTTAACAAAAGTTTTTGAAGAACAAATTTTAGATTGTATAGAAAAACGAACAAAAATTTTTTTAAATACCAAGTTCGTAGTTTCCTGCTTGTTTTTGGATCCCCGTTTTCAGTGTACTGAAATTGAAATCAATGTGGGATAGACTATACAGGCTTAGCCCTACTGGAAATTTGTGCCCAACCCCGAGCTCCAGCTCAAACCAAATAGACAGCGTATTGACATGGAAGACGCATTATTAGATGCATAATTATCGCAAGGTGTTATTTCGGGAGAAAACAGTGTATTGGACGTATATACGAAAATTGAAAATCTCCAACTTCCTTATCAAAGGATTAACATGGACGTATTATCGTTTTGGAAGGGAAAACAGTACACCGACTAGTTATAAGCAATTAGTTATGTTTGTTTTGCCGTACGGCAATTCAGGTCAGATATTCCATGAATTATTTAAGTTTACTAATAATAAATTAATTTATTTATTTTGTAATAGATGTCGATTGAAAGAGCATTCTCTACCCTAAGACTGGTCCTTACTAACCACCGCAATCGCTTAGGCCAAGATTTTCTTGAGAACATTTTTTTTGTAAAACTAAATCCCAGCTTTTTGGACAAAGCCATTGATGCCTTGGATCTTAAATAAATAAATAAAGAAAAGCGATTATTAGTTCTTTGGGTTATGTTGTGTGCAAATCGTTGCTCTAATGTCAAAGCAAATGAAAGTAAGCAAACAATTCACAATCGTTTGCTTGCTACTTTATAGACTTACGCTGCTAAATTAAAACAAAAGCGACTAAAAGCAAAGTCACCCAGCAGTGGAACGCATTAACATACATATTGTGTTTCGTAGAGTAAAAGTACTCTCAGTAGATTCGTTATACAATTGTATATTTCGTCAATGTCTTAATAACTTGTAGTTTTTGTAATCCACTAATGATGAAAATAAACAAAGTACAACCTTCCTCTTCTTAAGAATTTGCGGTTTAATTTTTATTTACTTACTATAACCTAAATAAATCAAAGAAATTCAAGTACTGATTTCTTGTATATGTTTGAATAGATTTGTCAAAATATACTCATATACTGATGCACTGTCCACTCCGCTGCAGTATGATACAAAGACGGCAGAAACTTCAGCTTTTTTGATGGACAAAAAATCGCTGGGACAAAAACATCATTGCATTTCGGTGACAAGTTTCCTCCAGCGCTTCAACTATGTCTACTGTTTTACCATTTGGAAGTTTTAGGTCCTCGGACGCACCATTTTACCTTCAGTGTTAAAATTGTAGGAACAAAATAACCATAAAACATAGTTTGTTCACCTTGAAGAAAATTAAGCCCTTTTGCCAAAGGTTCCATTAACTTGCAGTTCTTCTACAAATATTAAAATTCGCTGGTCTTCAGTTTGGATACATTCATACAACATAGGTCGTCGAAATGATCTTTGAGTCGCACAATTTCCTTAAGGGCGTCATATGTATAAAGGACTCTACCTAGTTGCAACTGGTGCTCGAGGGAACTAACCTAGGACTTGGGCCAATTGCATTTCAACAACAACAAACCTTTTCAACACATTTTTATGTAAGATGCAAAAATACCCTGTAATTGAGGAACGTCTATTGTCCGCCGTCTGTCTGTCCGTTTGTATGAACGGAACTATAAAAGCTTGGCATGCAGATTTTTAAAGTTGTGAAAGTATGTACTGTCACTCTCTCTAAAGGGTTCTCACTTGTTGAAATTTTAAACTATCGAGTAAGCTCAAAAAAAATTTTGATTTAAACATTGGTCCATTTACTTTATTAAGATATCGACGGAAAAATTTCTTTTCAGTATTTAATACAGTATACAATACAATATGCAACTTTGGCTAGCCAAAGAAAACATATGTTTATCATTACAAATATCTTGCAAGGAACTTATGTATATTTGAATAACTTTTCTTTAAACAGTGCACCATCAAAAAATTATTCATGCCGACATCAAGCCTGGAAATTTATTATTAACTGAATGTGGACATGTCAAAATAGCAGATCTTGGTGTGTGCAATGAATTTCTCGGAGAAGATGCAAAAATAAGCAATGGATCTACGGCTGGAACTCCAGCCTTTAGAGCACCCGAAACCCTCATCTTAGGACAGGTATAGTATTCATTAAATAATATAAAATTTAAAATTTTATAATTTTTAATATAAATTTAATTTAGAACGAATATTGTGGAAAAGCAGCAGATGTCTGGGCTTTAGGTGCAACTCTGTATTCCTTAATATTTGGAAATGTGCCCTTTTTAGCTGATTCCGTTCCCTTATTGTACGAAAAAATTAAACATGATTGTGTTACATTTCCAAAAAATCATTTAGTTACTGAAAATTTAAGAAGTTGCATAGTTCAAATGTTGGAAAAAGACGTTAAACTCAGAATAACAGTTCCACAGTTAAAGGTATTAAAAAAATAATTTTTGCTCCAATGATAATAATTTATATTATATTATTTATAGGTTAATAACTGGGTTACCTCTGATGGGGACTTTCCATTGCCCACAGAAGAAGAAAACTGTTGCTTGGTACAAGTTGATGATGAAGACATAAACTCCGTCATTCGCAGCATTCCAAAATTAGACACACTTATATTAATAAAAACCATGTTAAAAAAACATTCATTTGGTAATCCATTCACAAAAGGATCCTCTGAAAAATCCCCAGAACCAAGTGGCTCGCGGATAGAAAGATTTGTCCGGGCGGGAAGATCTAACTCGGCACCAGGTTCATATTTCAGGTTTTTAGACAGGTAAAAAAACGTCACTTTAAATAAAACTTTGTTAGTTATTCTTTTAATTATTCACAGTCAGCCATCAGCGAATACTCTCCTTCCAGCCCTAGTGGAACATTGTTCAAGCCAATGTAATGAAGATACATATGTTGATTCAGATTGTTAGATACTTAAGGGGTCATTTTAGCAAAACTGGACGTCCAAAAATTATTTTAAAGAAATTTAATTTCGTGCACAGAACATAATTTAACTAGGCAAATAATGTTATTGTGGATATAAGTCACGAGAACCAATTTGCAATATAAATATGTTTTTGGTAAAGGCCCACAATTTGAAAACATTCACATTCCCCAAAAAGGAATAAAAATATAATAAAATTGTCCTCACACAATAAAAGAAACATGTATGTAAATTAATTATTTCCCCGGAAATTTATAGAAAAAACAAATATAAATTTTATTTCCAAAAAGTATATGATGTTAAACCTTTATTAAAAATTTTTTACACATGTGTCTTGCAAGACACTGAATTAAAGTAAAACTTATACTGATCTCGGTTCGGGTCAAAATACGACTGCCGACAAAATCTTAAATCTAATTCAAAGAACCTCGCCCAGATGCTTTTTCTGGAGCTTCAGAAGTTCCTTTTTTTGTTTTTAGTAAAAGCTCATAATGCAAAAGTCGCATTTTGAAATTCAATTATGCTGACCAATGCAATTTATTTGGCTTTGGAATAGAAAAGTCAGCAGCTGTTGTTTACTTCAAGTTTGATTTGTTTATCTCGGCTGGGGAATTAAGAGAGGACCTCAAAGCCAAAGGCAAAAACAAATGCGAAAATCGCTAAGATTGAAGTTGGATATATTGTTTATAAATGGCTTAAGGGTCCTGGGTTCATGGGGTGGTTAACTTGTCTGTATTGTTGAAAATTTTTCAGAAAAGATTTAATTCATTGTCGTTGCTATTCCTAGGGTTTGAATTAGGAAACCCAAATCAATATTTGTTGTGTAACACTTTGCAAATTTTACAAAATATTTAATTATTAATCCTTGGGGGTAAATTTAGATTATGTCATTATTTTTTTGTTACTTTCAATGTACATAAGCATGACTGTCCAGTTTTTCCAAGAAAACACTTATTTTATTCTTTGAGAATGGTTTGTAAGCTTTTTTATAATAAAATTAATAAAACTACAAAAACAAAATATTTTATTATCGTTTATTTTTTTGCACTTTTATATAAAAAGTCAAAATAATAATAGTTTTTTCTTTAGCACAAAGGACAATAGAACTCCGAGATTCTGTAGCTTACAGACCCTAAAAAGGAAATGCTTCTTTGGTTCAGAAAATCCAATAGAATTCTCGTCTTGGAAATGTCAACTTTGCTTAAGCTAGCGACGGTGTCATTATTTTGTCTGATTACGCCGGGTAGTTCCGTTTCGTCAAAAAAGTTGACCTCTACTATAAAGTGTGATGTATGTGACGCAGTCGTATGACAGACCAGCATGTAAAAAAACGCATTTTCTTAATATCATTAAATACAGATTGGTTTTTTATGTATTGAATGGATTTATGGATTCTTTAATGCATTACTAAATACATTGTGATTCTCTTTAATTTTGTTATTGTTATTTTTTATCTCAATTCCAGTGATACCTTGACGTTGTCGGACGTGTATTTTTATCGCTCCTCAACTCAATGACTTATACGTAATTTCCATAATTACATTATCTGAAAATGTTTTGCGTGTTTGCGTTGTTGCTTTACACTTTTCTAAAGTTTACCGCAAACTTCTACACTTGTGTTTTGTTGTTGGTGCATTTGCTTACTCATCGTTTCGTCGCGCGTAAAGCTTATCACCGACCCAACTGCAAGCAGCGCTTTCTACATTCTACGTGGTTTCTATATGCGTATATATCACACTACAACATAACAATTTACTATGTCTGCCGGATCCACCAAGCCTTGCATTTTAAATCGTTAAATCTCCTCTCGACATCCCACAATTGGCTTGGATGGTTGACTACATTGCTCGCCCTAAATGTGCCGACCTTGGGCACAGTGCTGGCTTTATTGCAGACCGGACTAAATCAAATTCTAACCTGGATTGGACCTGCTCCAGTTGGCAGCATATTAAAGTCGATATTATGGCTTTCATAAGGCAAGCCGATCTGAAGTACCAGTCTTTATTAGCCGGTGTTAAGGACTTATCCACTAGGTTTGAAAAGGCTGAATCCAACTTTAAAAGCCGTTTGGCTACCAGGATGGCCTCTACTGATGTTGCTGACGGCCGCTCGGCAGACGCTGCCTCTGGTCCTTCACCCGCCGCTGCCTATTCTGGACCGCCCGATCGACTCGCACCTTCTGATCCGCAACTCGTCAACATTGACCAGGAATCTACGTCGTTTTCTGCTGCAGTTGGTTTTGGCATAATTTTTATACCCTTGCAGAGGGTATTATAATTTCAGTCAGAAGTTTGCAACGCAGTGAAGGAGACGTTTCCGACCCTATAAAGTATATATATTCTTGATCAGCATCACTAGTAGAGTCGATCTAGCCATGTCCGTCTGTCCGTCCGTTTCTACGCAAACTAGTCTCTCAGTTTTAAAGCTATCTGCATGAAACTTTCCCAAAAGTTGTCTTTCTATTGCAGGTAGTATATAAGTCGGAACGAGCCGGATCGGACGACTATAGCATATAGCTCCCATAGGAACAATCAGAAAAATAATTTAAAAAAAATTATAACTTTGTTGTTTTTTAATTTTTTGTTTAGTTCTTCGACATATAGCAATGGTTAAATATTTCAGAATTATGGTTTAAATTTCATCAAAATCGGACGACTATAGCATATAGCTCCCATAGGAACAATCGGAAAAATAATTGAAAAAAAATTATAAATTTGTTGTTTTTTAAATTTTTGTTTTGTTCTTCGACACAAAGCAATGGTTAAATATTTCAGAATTATGGTTAAAATTTCATCAAAATCGGACGACTATAGCATATAGCTCCCATAGGAACAATCGGAAAAATAATTTTAAAAAAATTATAACTTTGCTGTTTTTTAATTTTTTGTTTAGTTCTTCGACATATAGCAATGGTTAAATATTTCAGAATTATGATTAAAGTTTCATCAAAATCGGACTACTATAGCATATAGCTCCCATAGGAACAATCGGAAAAATAATTGAAAAAAATTATAACTTTGCTGTTTTTTAATTTTTTTTTTAGTTCTTCGACATATAGCAATGGTTAAATATTTCAGAATTATGGTTTAAATTTCATCAAAATCGGACGACTATATCATATAGCTCCCATACAAATAATAAAAATATTTAAAAGAACAATCAAATAATTAAGCTGCAAATCGTCATAGCTTCAATGTTTTTAAACATATACGCAAGTAAATCATAATTTTAATGTTTTCAAAAATATTTAATTCTTGCGATAGCTGCAAGGGTATATGAACTTCGGCTTGCCGAAGTTTGCTTTCTTTCTTGTTACGCATAATTTTGAACACGGAACCACCGCAGTCAACGTTAAATGGAGTCGCTCATCTGAAACCTAAGCCTTTATGGGGCGTTGCACTAAAAAGCTTATTTTTGTCTCCAGCCTTAGTCCTGCTGCTTTTGAAGATGACGTCAAAAACTACCTGAGCAGCAAAGTGAATGTCGAAACTGAATGCCGAAATAAGCGTCTTGAAGTTCAAGTTACAGCAAAGACGTGAACTATCTTTGTTTAAAATTGGATTTCCTGAGGAACATCTTAATAAGGCTCTGGACGTTTCTATATGGCCTGAACATGATATTGTTCACGAGTACGTAAACATGCTTAATCCTCGGGTCCATGGGACTCAGATTCCTTGAACCAACGTTCCAAAAAACTAAATAATTCTTTTTCCCTACACTACCAGAATGCTCACAGCTTATTGGGCAAACTTAGTAAGCTGCACGTCAACAGTGTCTCCTTCGATGCCAATGTGATTGCTTTTACCAAAACGTGGCTTAATTCCTCTGTGTCTGACTGCGTAATAGTTGCTGGATATTATGTTATATACAGATGTGACCGCACAATGCGTCTTGGCAGTGGTGTTCTTATTGCCGTCAAGTCTCTGAACGCGAGCCGATCATTGGTACGGACAGCATATTAAAGTTTGTTGCAGTTCGGATTAAGCTTCATGATTATTTCGTTTTTATATCATGCTCGTATATTCCCCCTTGTTCTGATCTTAGCTTCTACCTTCATATCTTGGATGCCATCAACTGATTCAATTGCTGTCGTTCCCACCACCACGTTTTTTTGATCTTTCATTAAGACATCTTAACTCAGTCTTAAACTGCTCCAGAAAAGTTTTAGACCTTATTTTTGTCTCGGAGCTCGCCAATGCCTACGTAACTCGAATTAGCACTCTCTCCAATTCTGAAGACGCCTACCATCCTACACTTGAGGTCACTTTAGACGCATCAGCTCCATTACTGTCATCTCCCGAAACCGATGAAATGAATAAGCATTTATCGGAATTCGATTGGTCTTTTATGGATTTGAACGATGATCCCTTACACAATTTAGAGCAGTTTTATGGTATTTTCTATTCAGCTTTCGATACGTTCGTTCTCTCATTTCCCTCTGCAAATGCGTCTCATTAGCCACCGTGGCTCTCTCAAAGACTCTCTTTCCTGAAAAACTCCATTTCCAGACTTTTTAAGAAATTTAAGCGAACCGGGCTGACCATTCGAGGTATCCAATTATTCGCTCAAATTTCTTAGTCCTCAATTCCGAATGTTACAACAGTTATCTAAATAATTAAATAATTAAAATAACACTGCGAATCATTAAAAAATAAATCAACCAAAGATCACTAAACATAACATTTAAAACAAGTGTCCTAAAAGCCCGGTCCCCTTAAAAGCAATTGTCGGTAGGGTATGCAGGCACCAACCGCTCGCAAAACATCGCCAAGAACTGATTTAGTTTGAAGTTTTCTCAACCACTGAAGAGCAGTCGGTGTTTCAAGTGACACGACTGCGATGTGCCCTGTTCCCATCTCAGTGGACTGATTTCTATAAATTCGAATACATACATATATGTAAAACATTTTACTGCTACCACTGATTTGAATATGTAAACAAAAATAAAATGTACGCTGAAGTATTAAATAAATATATTATAACATATAATATTCATATACGCCCATATTCTTAGGGTACCAAGTTAGAAAAGTGGTAAAAGACAAAATATCCTGTAGTTCTGAAATTCCCTTCCCTGCCTTTTCCTGGCCGGCATGTTCGAAAAACAAAAACAAAGCACATGGGCTTCATCTAGCGAAGTTCAAAACAAAGCAGGCTGACAAAATTCTGTCGGCACTTCTGCCACTGCCGAAGTTCGAACTTTTTTGTTGTTGTTTATTTCGAAGTAATTCGGAGCAGCGACTGAAAAAGGGAGAGGGTTGGACGGAGAGAAAACTGAGAAAAAAATCAAAATGTCAAGAACAAAAGGAACTGTGTAGACTTTTGAATACCCTTTTTTAGAAGCGCTAGTATATTTATTAATTTTTTAGATGATATATAACATTTTGGAAGTTATTGTAAAGTTGCAATATACGCCAAAATGTTAATATTTGATTATCTGCCTTATGTGATTTTAACTTCAAGGCATTGTTATGGTCGGATATACCCTGGCACGCGTCAGGCAGAAATTTCGGTTTCGTTTTTCGTTCTCCCCATTCCCTTTGCACTTGAATTCGACTGCAACAGAGTGAGGAAGTGTTTTTAAAAGTGAAAATTTTAGGCAAGTATTAATTAATCAGGTAAGTGCATAAATTTAAATAAATAAACAATATATAAATAAATATATTTGCACATTTGAAATACGGTGGCTAAACGCGGCAAAAGCGAATTAGCTGACGGCCATGCTGCAGATTTTCCTTAAGGGAAAGTCCAATGATGCAGAGGTACCTAATTCCTTCCCGATCGAAGGTTAGAAGTTAAAATATGCTCGTCTACTAAAACCGCCTATGTAAGTATAATATTTATGAAGAAGATGAGTGTGGAATAAACTCTGTGTTGTTTCTACAGATTGAGACCATCACCGCCATTCTTAGGCGAAAAATTTTGCCTAAGTCTATTAAAGTCTTTGCGACTTTAATATAAACGCCGTGAATGGAA